AATCACTTTTAAAGTTTTATTAATTTTATTATATTTATTTTTGTTATTATATATGTAGAGAACGAGCGTATGAATTTCTTGACGAATGGTATAATGATAGATTTAATAATGAAGAAAATAAAGATGAAACATTTTCGTACGATGAACATAAAAAAGAAATAAGTAAAATTCACAATCGACACAATAAACAGATTGAAAAACAACTTGAAAATAAAGATAAAATTATTCTACATCTAATTCAAGAACAAAGAGTTGAAAGAAAATCTGAACAAGCAGAACGGCAACAAGAAAGAAAGTTAGAACGAGAAGAGCGACAACAAGAAAGAATTTTTTTTTAAAGCTTTTAATGAATATATTTTTGTTCTTTATTATTATGTTTTTGATTTATTGTGCATATAAAAAAAATTTATAAGGTACAATTGCTTCGACTATTTTATCCTGCGTTATTAAATATATTGAATATAGTATGAAGTAAATCAATTACAAATTCTGAAACTCCGAAACTCCATTTTGATAAACTAAATTAAGTTATTGATTAAAACGAAACTCCTAAACTCTATTTTGATAAACTAAATTAAGTAATTGATTAATGAAATTCTAAATTCTGAGACTCTGAATGTCTAAATTAAATAATTGATTTGAATTTACTTTAAAAAAAAATATAAAAACATCGATTTTTACTTTACCTCATATAAATAAATCTGCATAAAATAATAATCAAAATAACAATGGGTTTGATAGATCTTTCTCGACGTTTTATCAATTTTTTTAACAAGTAAATATAGTATAGTAGTATAATGTTATTAATAAATTATATTTTAAACTAATTTTATTTTAAACAAATAATAAAGCATAGATGCTAGAAATAATATGACAAAAGCTCAACTTTTAGCAAAAATTAATGAATTAACAACAACGTTTGAGGAACAAAAAAATGAAACAAAAAAAAACCATACTAATGAAATCAGTCTTTTCCGAGAAATAATTACCGCAAAGAATAAAGAAATTACAAATTTGATGTCTATTATTGATAATCATGCTAAAGAAATCGAACGAATCGATGAAATGAGAAAAAAACATGAATACGAATATAATGAAAGGTTGAAAGAAAAAGATAAAATCCACAAACGTGAAAAAGAAGAAAAAGAAAGAACATATAAACGGGAAACCGATCTTTTACACCAAACCATCGATTATTTGGAACAAACTATTCGCTCTTTACAAATTAGTACCTCTGAATATTAATATATTTTTTCTTTTAAAATTTTTTTTATTTATATTATATAAAATAATTTATATAAATAAAATTTAATAAATAATATTCTAAATTTTGTTAGTCTAAATTAAGTAATTTGATTTGAAATTCCTAAACTTCGAACCCCGTTTACAAAGTCTAAATTAAGTAAATTGATTTAAATAACAACAAACTCCGAATTTATCATCATTATTTTATCTTGTGTTATAACTCCTTGAAAAACTATATTTAGTAATTAATTTATAAACAAATTCTGAAACTCCATTTTGAAAAATATAAAAAATTCTAAAATTTTAATGTTTAAACAACTAATTTTTCGTCTTTTGATTTTATTTTCAAATGTCTTATCATAATTTTCCAAATCTCGGACTAGAAATACGTCAATCTAATAATTCTATATGTAATCATTATCCTTATGGACAAGAAATGAATATGAAAACTGAATTATCAGGACCAAATGGTTGGTGATTGGCAATTACCGGATATCCAGAAAATATGATAGAAACTTTATCTTTTTGTGAAAAAAATGTATTAAATAAAATTAAAGGTAAATAATCATCAACGGTTTAAATAATAATAAATATTTAAATAATAATTTTTTTAAAATAGAATTAGAAAATAAAAATGCTAAATTGGAAAAAGAAAATACAAAATTGAAACAAAAAAATAACAATCTACAAAATGAAAATACAAAATTGAAGCAAGAAAACGAACAACTGAAACAAAAAAATAATGACCTACAAAAACAGATTAAAGAACAAGAAAAAATTTTTCAAGTAATGATAATTTATTTTTTTTATTATTATTTTTTTTTTTTGGTGTTAAGGTGGCCTCTTGGCCGGCTCCTTTTATTCGGTTA